TGTAAATGCGCCCGATACAACACCTGAAAATGTTTCCGTCTTATTAAGCCGAAAGATGACAGGTTTATCCCAAATTAAAATTTGAACTATTGAATTTAGAGATGGATGAGAATGCTTGTGCAAAAAGTATTATATATACTGAAAAAAGAGTAGCCGAGTTATGGTATGTATTTAACTGTATTTTACTAATAAATTCTTGTTAAGGGTTAATAAGTAATCTTTTTTTTTCTTATATGGCAAAAAAATAATCCATATGTAGATGATATCAGGCGTATGGGACAACTTCGAATACAAATTGATCTAACACAAGAGTTAAATCAATTGAAAAGACAACCTTCTAAATTAAAGAGGAGATTAAGATAAGATTTTGGAATTTGGGTGATAAACTTCGAGCTCAAAAGCCTAAAATAGATCATTTTAAATTTCAACTTGTTTTAATAAATGAACGAATTATCAAGTCTCAAGTGGCCAAATCAAGGGCGGAAAGGATAGGATTAAAATCGAAAATTTTCGAGCATAAATTTAAAGAGATTTGGAAGAATTAAATAATTAAATAGAAAAGCCAAAAGAAATTCAAAGTTTCTCGTTCCATTCGATGAAGCCAAATCAGTATTTATTCATATTAATGTTTAATCATACCTTTTTTTTTTTTTTTCAAAATATATAATATTTATTTACATTTTTCCTAATTTTTTAGATATTGGAAAGTAAAAAGGAAGAGTTAGGAAAACTTGATGAATAATTAATCGGATTCGAGCAATTGAGGTTGATATTTATGTATATTATTATTCTCTCAACGTTACGTCAAATATTTTTTCCATAACCAATCCCACTATGTATTGTATTAATTAAAACTCAAAACCCAGCTCGAAGATAGTAAGCGCAATTTGGTAGAAACTAAACAGAAAAAAATTCATCGGCGAAATTCTCTTAGAAAATTTGGGTAAGCATGCTGATGGTGTTTTTAAAATATTTATTCTACCATTTATCTAATTGACCTTATAAGTAGAGGTGATGAGGAGCAAGAATTTCAAATTACACTGACGATGAGCTCGATGCAATGGACAAAGTACATTACAAGGAGATCGATGATCTTAAAGGTATTCTTTTTTATATTCTACTTATTCTTTATATATAATTTTTTTTTTATTTAAAAAAATTTTTTACAGAGAAAATACAAAATTCCAATCCAAATCTAAGTGTTTTTGGAAGATTATCGTATTCGTGAGAAAGATTATTTGTTACGTGTTAGATCTTTGAAGAGATTACTTCTAAACGTGATGAGTGTAAAAAGGAAAACGATTGTTAACGATTGGAAGAATTCATGCATGGGTTCACTTTAATATCTCGGAAATACATCAGGTATCTAAAATGGCACTTTTTATCTCAACATGAATTAAATATAACAAGTTTTGTTTTTAGATGATTACTCTTGGAGGACATACCGAGCTTAAATGTTGCGACAGCTTGGATCCTTTTTATGAAGGCATTATTTTTAGTGTTATGCCTCCGAAAGAGTTGGAAAATTTTTTTGGTGGAGAAAGGTATTCGTATGTTTTCCAACGTTCATTTTAATTATACTTGACATAAATGAATATTTATTTTGTCAAAATACAAACACTTAGTTCTTTGGCTTTGGTATTTGCTCTACACCAATTCAAACTTAACCCTTATATATTATGGATGAGATTGATGCGGCCTTGGATCTTCACAAAGTGTCAATCGTTGCCATTAAAGAATGTTCTAAGGACGTACAATTTATCGTGATTAGAAATACTTTCAATTTATGGTCGAGTTAGAGGTATTGGATGCTTAGCAT